TCAGTCCCCAAGGGGACTCCCTCCTTCCCCAATCCTCATTAAAAGCAAATGGGGCGGACGGCACACATAAGGAATCCTTTGCCTTACAGCGCTTCAGCCTTTTCCGAAGTACCTTAATTTCCTGCATTAGCTGTGCTTCCTCATCAGATAAACTATTCTCTGCACTAGAGATGAGGCTGCCTTCCCCATTTTTCTGACTCGGAGGTTATTGCTATCTGGTTTTGCGTCCGAAAGTGGGCAGACTTTGGTGCTAGCCTTAGTCCCGCACCAGATTCCAAAGTTCCCCCTGGCACCTCTGACATTTCCTTTTGCTCCCTATGTGACTCTGCTGATCCTATGGACCGGCGAGTCTCTTCCTCCTGTATTTCTACAAGTATCTCTTCAGCCGCGACCTCCGGTCTCACTTTCACTTTATCAGTAAGTAGGACATCGCGAACCAGGCGCCAGAGCGAAAAGGTAGATGATACAGGGACGCTATCTGCATCCTCCTTTTGCAGCCATTTCTGCAAATCTGTTTTTACCTGTTTCCAATCGGAAATGTTCAAACCTCCACCTGTCAAAAACCATGGGCTTGCTGCGGCTATATTCTTTTAAAAAATCTTCTATAGTTCTCTCTTTGACCGCGGATCCTTGTTTCTCTAACAATTTAGCTATCTGACATATCAGGTCTCTCTTACTGCTTGTGGATCCCATTTTACCCCAATCCGTCCTTACCGGCCTAGGACGACCCGGTCCGCTATCCCTTCTTTCTCAGATCTTGGTGGAAACCTCCACTTTGCCGCACCAGCACGGCAACTGTCATCCTTCTGAGTGAGGGAAGTTGGGATTAACATGCAACACAACTTCAGGTTCTGCAGACAAGCCTTTTATTCCACTTTCTCACAGCAGGGAGGGGAGGCCAAATCAGAGATAGCAGGAAGCTCCTCACCATAACTCAATGGCTTAGGGATAAACATCCTTAGAAACATTGCTGAGGGGGCTGGAGAGATGGCTCAGTGGTTAAGAGCATTGCCTGCTCTTCCAAAGGTCCTGAGTTCAATTCCCAGCAACCACATGGTGGCTCACAACCATCTGAAATGAGATCTGGTGCCCTCTTCTGGCCTTCAGGCATACATGCAGAAAGAATACTGTATACATAATAAATAAATAAATAAATATTTAAAAAAAAAAGAAACATTGCTGAAAACAACAGATTGTTCCTGTTTTTAACTAACATCAAGAGTGCAAAACAGATCAAGTGGGGATGCGAAGGCCTGTCCTCTAGGGACCCAACAACTGAGGGAGATGTGATTGTGGTTAAGATCCTGTTATTTTGGGTAATGTACTTCACACACACGCACACACACACACACACACACACACACACACATATATATTTTTTGGTCAGTCATACAATATAGTCTTCTCCACCCTGCCCCCGGCTCTGGTCTGTAACCCTCAATTTAGCAGGCTATACTTGTGTCAGCTGGAATAAACATTCTCTTTTAAAGTCCTTGGTCAGTAGGCAACTCCCATAAATGTCCCAACTGGATTTGTCTAGAGCCTGCTCTGGGAACAGAGTTCTTCCTGGACTGTTTCCACCGCACCGTAGTGGTCTCAACTGCCACCCTCCCCCACCCCAAGCCTCCCCCAGGGGGCCTCTTTCTCATTTTTGGGGACAAGATCTTACTATAACAGCCCTGGAACTTATTGCATGGACCAGCTGGCTTCGAACTCAAAGATTAGGCTCCCTCTGCCTCCCCATATTAGTCTTCTTATAAGAGCTTTTCGTGTTGATAGAGTCATTTGTGCAGGTCTCAGAGCTACCCCTTTGCAGTGGGATCGCAATGAGAAGTTGGAGCTCAGCAGACAGTTCATTGGCTGAACACAGCCAGAGGACCGGGGTTTGGTTCCTAGTACCACACCCAACATGCCAGGTCACAATGGGGCTCTTACTCCAGTTCCAGGCACCTGACCTTTCTTCTGGCCCCCTGCGCTCATATAAATTTATGCATTCATATATACACACATAAAAAACCAGACTAACAGCCGGGTGGTGGTGATGCACACTTCTAATCCCAGCACCTAGGAGTCAGGCAGGCAGATCTCGGTAAATTTGAGACTAGCCTGGCCAACAAAGGAGATCAGCTAGGACTATTTAGTAAGATCTTTTCTCAAGTAGATAAAAATTGGTTTAAAAAATATCATGTCGAAATCTTGGACCTCTGTTAGAAGTTATACTGAGAAAGGATTAGACCACGACGGCTCTGACCTAAAAATGAATTCATCCATTGATAGATTCATCATATGGCAAGTTGGACGGAAGGTTGTCATGAGTTCAAGGCCAACCTGGGTTACATGTGAATTTTAGGGCAGCCAAAACTACAGAGTGAGACTCTATCTCGAAATAAACAAGCTACAAAACAAATAACCCAATGTCTTTCTTGGGAGGCAGTGGAAAGGAGGAGGGGACTTAGCTGGGAGTGGGCCACCAGTGTGCCCTGAAGTCACTTGCTGTTTGTGGCCACCAAGATTAGTGATCAGCTTCCTCTACCACGTGGTCCCACCACCCTTATTCTCTGCCTTAACAGAAACCCAGAAACAATGGAACTCCCTGAAACAGAGAGTGACACACAGTCTTCCCTTAAGTTGTCTCCTCGGGGATTTTGTCAGGGAGACCATTCCAGAAGTGAGGTAAGGTCTGTTCCTTCTGGAACTTAGTAGGATTATGATATTTTCTAGAATTCCTGGATTTTGGGCTTGGTCATGACCTCATTTGGCAATAAAAGAACTGGTAGGTGGCGGAGGTATGAAGGGCTTCTCCAGAATTCAAGCTCTTGTCTCATCTCGTGCACTGTGTGATAAGATAGGACCAACTCCCCTACCATAGGACACCTTTATCTGTCACCCTGGGATCCCAGTTAACTAGCACGAGCTCCCTAAAAATCCACAGTCAACACAATAGCTTAATCAAGAAATAAATGTTGTATTAAACTTCTGGATTATTAGAATATTAGGAATGTTAGCGTAAGAGATGGAGAATCTGCATTAGTCATTAAGAGCACTTGCTGCTCTAACTCCGGACCAGGAGAGCTAGTGTGCTCTTCTGGTCTCAAAGGGCTTGCATGCACACATTCCTGCTAGACTGCTGAGTTGGCGCCTGTAGTCTCTCCTGGGGAGTGGGGACAGGTGGAGCCTGGGAGTTCACTGCTGATGAACTCCAGATTCATGGAGATGCTAATGTCTTAGTCACTGTTCTATTGCTGTGAAGAGACACCCTGACTAAGGCAACTCTTTTTTTTTTTTTTTTGGTTTTTCAAGACAGGGTTTCTCTGTGGTTTTGGAGCCTGTCCTGGAACTAGCTCTTGTAGACCAGGCTGGTTTCGAACTCACAGAGATCCGCCTGCCTCTGCCTCCCAAGTGCTGGGATTAAAGGCGTGCGCCACCACTGTCCGGCTCTAAGGCAACTCTTATAAGGGAAACTTGCTTACAGTTTCAGAGGGTCAGTCCATTATCATCATGGCAGGGAACATGGGGGCAGGCAGACATGGTGCTGGAGCTGAGAGCCACATCCTGATCCACAGACCAAGAAAAAGAGAACTGGGCCTAACATGGGCTTTTGAAACCTCAAAGCCCACCCCCAGGAGCACATACTTCCTCCAGCAAGGCCACACCTCCCAGTCCTATCAAAGAGTTCCACTCCTGGGTGCTGAGGATTCATCTATGTGAACCTAAGAGGGCCATTCTCCTTCAAACCTCCACAGACAAGGCTGGAAGGTGACTCAGCAGTTTAGAGCTCCGGTTGCTCTTCCAGAGGACCTGTGTTCATTTCTCAGCATCCAGAGGTTCTTGTAACTCTTCTCACATGAGCACCCTAGCAAGGATGGGGACACACACACACCATATACACACATAGTACACACTAATAATAAATGAGAAACAAACTTTAAAATTTCGAAGTCCAGTGTGGTATATATCTGTTTTGTTCTTGGAGACAGGTTTTCTCTGTAACAGCCCTAACTGTCCTGGAACTCACCCTGTATATCAAGCAATTTCACCTGCCTCTGCCTCCCAAGTGCTGGGATTTATTTATTTATTTTTAAATATTTTTATGGTTTATTTAACTTTTTTTATGTGCACTGGTGTGAAGGTGTCAGATCCCCTGGAACTGGATCTTCAGACAGTTGCGAACTGCCATGTGGGTGCTGGGAATTGAACCCAGGTCCTCTGGAAGAGCAGTCAGTACTCTTAACCACTGAGCCATCTCTTCAGCCCCAAGTGCTGGAATTAAAGGCGTGTGCTGGCATTGCCTAGCTTAGGTGCTCAGGTGTGGTACTTGTAATCCCAATACTTATAGAGACAGGAGGATCTGTAGCTCAAGATGAATTCAAGGCTAACTTGGGCTACGTGAGACCCTGTCTCAAAATAAAATCTAAGACAGTAAGAAGGGTACGGCTCTCTTCTTTCCTTCTCCCCACAGATTCATAAGACAAGCTGGGATCACCTCTGGACCTTCGGCTAAGATCAAGTGTAGAACCTGCCAGACCCTCTCATTTCCTGCTCTTTGATTAGAGAGATGAGGACATCACTGAGTGGTTAGTCCTGCTGGGGTTCGATTTAAAATGGCAAAATCCTTAGCCAATGTATTGGCACACACCTTTACTCCCAGCACTTGGGAATCAGGTGGATCTCTGTGAGTTGTGGGTCAGTCTGGTCTACGAAGCAAGTTCCAAGACAGACAGCTATACAGAGAAACCCTGTCTCAAAAAACAATAAATAAATAAATGAGGCAAAATCCTGGGCTTGGATATAAATTAGGGTTCATATGGAAAATGAAGTCAAGAACTAGGAACATGGCACGGCTTAGGAAAATGAAGTCTGTCTGAGTAGCCCACAGAAAATGTCAGAACAGGGAACTAACCAAATTTAAACAACTTCAATCAGTGGGAAGGAGGAGGCAAAATAATTATATTCAAATTCATACCCAAATAATTTAAGACAGATTTTGAATGTCTGGTTTATTTAAGCAGGCTGTCTGAGGTCCCACCACAAAGAAGGCTAGGAGGTGAGAGGCTAAGCCAGGCAGGGAGCTCCCCAGGCATCAGAAGAGGAATGGACTCAGCTGAACACCCAGAGCAGTATTAAGGACAGGCTGCACACTAGTGGCCAGGCCCTGTGAAGCTCAGCTCCACCCATAGCCTCAGCATAGAACCTTGCCACCTCCTCGTTAGGGTTGCCTTGGGCTGGGTCGAACCACATCTGGATGCAGCGGCCGCTCCCTCGGCTGTAGTTGCTGAGTTTGTAGGAGTGGCTCCAGATTTCCTCACACAGAGCAGCAGGTGTAGGGAAATAGAAGGTGAAGGGTTGGCAAGACGCCCCCACAGGGCACTGGTTAGACCCTAGAGAAATCATGGAAGACTTTTAGCCACCGTGCCTAGAATTATCTCTGGTTGTGCCAGCGTCAGAACCCCAGATCTTCACACAGGAGTTGCCCAGCCCCATCCCTCCTGCCCACATACTCCTTAACCATGGTCCAGCCCCCACCTCTCCTGCCCAAGTACTCCTTACCCGAGGCACAGCCCCCACCTCCCGCCCACGCCCACGTACTCCTTGCCAGAGGTCCAGCCCCTCCCCTCCCGTCCACTACTCCTTACCGGAGGTGCAGCCCCTCACCCTCCCGCCCACATACTCCTTACCCGAGGTCCAGCCCCCACCCTCCTGCCCACACCCACAAACTCCTTACCCGAGGTCCAGCCCCCACCCTCCCGCCCACTACTCCTTACCGGAGGTCCAGTTCCACCCCTTGTGCCAGTTGCTCTTGCAGGTGAGAGAGGCACGGCAGTCCTCCCACCATTGCTGACAGTCGTCTCTGCACAGGGGGACATCAAGGATTCGTTCTTTGCGCCAGCTCTGGTCCACCTGCGAGACGATGAGGAAGGTTTTGAGCTCAGGAGCCTCAGAACTGCAGCCTGAGTAGACCTGGTGTGGGAGGCAGACCCTGTAGAGATATTTAGAGAGCGCAGCTGCCCTGTTGGCTTGGGGAGACACTCATACCTGCTGGGTCCACGGTCCCAAGTTAGGAGAACACTCATAGAGGCAGGTGTCTTGGATAAAGTGTCGTTTGCATTTCGATGGCATCTTTCCACAGTGGTCCCAGTTGAATCGGTACAGGTAGGAAATGTCCCTGTGAGCTTCCCGGCTTGTGTTTGCAGTGCAGCAGGAATTCTTCTTCCAGGGACTGCACTGTATGGCGGGAGATACAGGGCTAAGTCCATGACCAGCACAGGCAGAATATTCCACATGCAGCCTTGCACGGTTTTTTGTTTGTTTGTTTGTTTTTGGTTTTTCGAGACAGGGTTTCTCTTGTGTAACAGCCCTGGCTGTCCTGGAACTCACTGTGTAGACCAGGCTGGAGTCGAACTCACAACTCACAGAGATCTGCCTGCCCCTGCCTTCCAAATGTTGGGATTAAAGACAGTACCACCACCCAGCCCAGCCCTTGGTAACTCCTTGGTTGCCTAGTCAATCATTCAGGGAAACTTGCTGTTGAGCCCTGACTGACCAAAGAAGCCCAAGAGGTACAATCTTTACAAAAGTCATTAACTCCCGAGACCTGGAGAACACTTTCTGCCCTTGTAGAACACTAGGGTTTAGTTTCCCTGTGGGTACATGGTTGTTTATTTTAAGGGATCTGATGCCCTCTTCTGGCCTTCCTGGGCACCAGACACAAAGATGATGCATATACATGCATACGTGCAAGCAAACACACATAAAATAAAAATTTTAAAAATTCACCAATTCACACTGGGTGTGGTAGGGCATACCCTTAGTCCAACTTTCAGGAGCCAGAGGCAGTTAGATCAGATAGAGGCAGGTTCAAGGCCTGCCTGTTCTACAGTGTCAATTCCAGGACAGCAGAGCTATAACAGAGAAACCCTGTCTCAAAAAATAAAAAAATCATTAATTAACATTTATTGTTTCTTTCAGTTTTCTTTTCCTATGCACACGTGCTTCTGTGTGCATGTGCAGAGGTCAGAAGACAACCTCAGGCAGTCTATCTACCTCCTTGGAGGCCTGGAAATCACAAGTTAAGCTCTATTAATTGCTGTTAAGCACGAGGACTCACTTGTCTGCATCTTCTCGTGCGGGAGCTATAACCACATTGCTTCTGCCTCCTGCTTGGCATTTTTACTTAATTCTAGGGATTAAGCTCAGGTCCTCCTGTTTGAAAGCCAAGTACCCTCTCCCTAGGCCTGTTCTTCTGAGACAAAGCCTCAGAGTCCAAGAACGACTTTGAACGCTTTTATTTCTCACAGCTACCTCTCAAGTGGTGATTACAGCTGCTACACCCAGCTTTCTCTACATCCAGCCTTTATTTTTTAAGCCAGGTTCTCGCCATGTAACCCTGGTGAGTTGAATTCACCATAAACACCAGGCTAACCTAGCACTCCCAGACGGGTCTAACACTCCCAGACTGACCAGGCTAACACTCCCAGACTGACCGGGCTAACCCAGCACCCACAGACGGGTCTAACACTCTAACACTCCCAGACTGACCAGGCTAACACTCCCAGACTGACCGGACTAACCCAGCACTCACAGTCGGGTCTAACACTCCCAGACTGACCAGGCTAACCCAGTACTCACAGAGGGGTCTAACATTCCAAGGCTGGCAGGCATCACACCCAGGTTTTAGTTCACTTGACTTCGTTATAAGCCCCTATCCCCCTATCCAAGCTAAGCCAGGAGGAGATAAGGGATAAAATGATAAAAAAAAAAAAAAAGCAACAACATGCCAACTGCTTCAGGAAAATAAATAAAGGCAATATAAAGGCATTTGGACTTGCTGTGCCGCCAGATGGTCAGGTTAGACCTCGCTGAAGGAAATGACAGAAACCTGGAGGATTTACCTGACGTAAACTGGTCGGCAAGGGAAAAAGACACTTCGGCCTTGAAAACTTAGTACCCAAAGGTTTTTGTTTTTTATTTTGCTTTTTTTTTTTTTTTTAAAGATTTGTTTGTTTGCTTTTCAAGACAGGGCGTCTCTAGTCTAAGGTCTACACTATTTTTATTTGCATCACTACACAGGAAACGACTTCACTCACTCCAGCCATGTTCCCCGTTCAGGACCAACACTCATTATTCAGATCTTTTGCTTTTGTTTAACATAAATTTTGCCAATCTTTTTGTTTTGTTTTGTTTGGGTATGTTTTTTGAGTCAGGGTTTCTCTGTGTAACAAGGCTAGCTGGATCTCACTGTGGAGACCCGGCTGGCCTCGAAGTCACAGAGATCTGCCTGCCTCCTGAGTGCTGAAATTAAAGGCGTGTGCCACCACTGCCTGGCAAATTTTGCCACTCTGAAAAACAAACAAACAAACAAAAAAAAAAAACCCACAGATTTTTTTTTCTTCCCGGTGTAATAGCCATGGCTGTCCTGGAACTCACAGAGATCTATCTGCCTCTGCCTCCCAAGTGCTAGGATTTAAGGTGAGTACCACCATCGCCCAATGCAAAGTTTTAAAAAACACATTCAAAACAATTTTGTTGTTGTTTTGTTCATTTCGTTTATTTTTGAGAAAGGCCTCTCTCTATGAAGCCCTGGAGCTTGCTATGTAGATCATGCTGATTTGAACTCTCAGAGCTCTGCCCTCCTCTACCCCTCACAGTACTAGAATTAAAGGCCTAGTTTAAAAAAAAAAAATTAAAAGTTAGAGATGACTCAGCAGTCAAGAGTCTTCTGCCCAACACCACATCCTAAGAAAACCCGTCTGCGACCCCAGCTGCAGAGACTCTCAGGCCTTGCTCTGGTCTCCAGCAGCACTCATGACCTGTAGTGTTTGTTCCCACGGACACCTAGGTGTGAATAAAAACAAGGCTTTCTTATTCTGAGAGAGGGTCTCACTGTATAGAACTTGCCATGTAGACCAGACTGACCTCAAACTCAGAGATCCATCTGCTTCTGCCTTCCAAGTGACAAAAATAAATTAAGAAAAAGAAAAAAGTAAAGGTTGAATAAGTTAGTAAGTTACTGCTCAAGGTAGCCTCTGCGGCAGTCTAAACTAGCAACAGTGATTCAAAATAGCGGCACCAGGTGTAGAGGGGACCACCTTTAATTTCAGCGCTCAGAATCCAGCCTGGTCTACATGTTGAGTACCAGGCCAGTGGAGGCTACGTGTGAGATTCTGTCTCACAGACAAAACACAACACAACACACAAGATACCAGCACCAGCATGGATAGGGAAGGCCAGAGGAGCCTTCTCATCCCTTGCTGAGGAGCTACTGACAGTGGTGGCTCCCAGGGAACATTCGGTTTTAAGAGCGTGGTCCATGGTAGGTTGACCATGAGCCAGTGAATGACCTCACGCTCTATGTATATGGGCAGCAACATTATTATAAAGAAAAGGAGGGGGCTGGAGAGATGGCTCAGCCCTTAAGAGCATTGACTGCTCTTCCAGAGGTTGTGAGTTCAATTCCCAGCAACCACATGGCTCACAACCATCTGTAGTAAGATCTGGTGCCCTCTTCTGGCCTGTGGGCATACATGCAGACAGAATACTGTAAACTTAATAAATGAATAAATCTTAAAAAAAAAAAGAAAAAGAAAGAAAAAAAGAAAGAAAGAAAAGAAAAGGAGCCAGGCAATGGTGGTGTCTACAGAGTGAGTTCCAGGACAGCCAGGGATAAACAGAGAAAGCCTGTCTCAAAAACCAAAAACCCAACAACAACAACAACAAAATAGTGGGAGAACAAAAGGGAGGTTGTCAGATAGGATCAAAATGCATGTATGAAATTCTCAAAGAATAAATTTTAAAATGTTATTAAAAAACAAAAAGCATGAAATAGGGCTCAGCAGTTAAGAGCATTGCTGTTCTTGCAGAGGACCTGGGTTGGCTCCCAGCACCCACATGGAAGCCGATACAACCATCTGTAACTCCAGTTATGGAGAATCCAATGCTACCTTCTGGCCTTTGCAGGAACTGCACTTGGTGCACAGACATACACACAAAATACCCATAAAAAGAATAGAAGTGTGACACTGTCATCACAGAGTCAAGATGTCCATTTATATGTTGAAGGAATAGAACTGTGACGCTCTCATCACAGAGTCAAGACGTCCATTTATATGTTGAAGGAAGCAGTGCACATTGCTTTCCTGTTGCTTTTTACAATGTCTCTCTGGTGTGGTAGCTCTCACCTTCACTCCCAGGACTCAGGAGGTAGGCAGAACTGAGTTTCAGGCCAGCCATAATTACATGGTAAAACCCTGTCATTGCTACACCCCACCCCGCCCAAAATTGTTTTTCTTTCTCTGTCTTTTTCCCTTTCTTTCTTGATGGGGTTTCATGTATTCCAGGTTGACAATGAACTCGCTATGTAGCTGAGGATAACCTTCAACTTCTGATTGCCCTGCCTCTACCCCTCCAGATTATAGTTACCAATACAAGCAGTTTTTTGGTTTATTTCCTTCTCTTTTTTAGACGGGGTTTCTCTGTGTAGCCCTGGCTGTCTTGGAACTCAGTCTGTAGACCAGGCTGGCCTAGAATACACAGATCTGCCGACCTATGCCTCTGAGTGCTGGGATTAAAGGCATGCTTCACCACCGCTCAGTTTACAGCTGGTTTTATGTAGTGCTAGGGATTCTATTTAGAATGCTATGCAGGTATTTTATCAACTAAGCTACATCCCAGCCTATGTATTTGTTTATTCATTTATCAATGTTATTTACTTTAGGTGCTTTACATGTGACCTCTGCATGCCTGGAGCCTGCAGATTCAGAAGAGGGCCCTTCACCCCTGGAACTAGAGTTATGGATGGTTGTTAACCACTATGGGGATGATAGGTATTCTGTAAAAGTCAGCTCTCTGGTCCTTAGTTTTGGCTTTTTTTGAGACACGGTCCTGATTGCAAAGTGTCAGGGTCGGACTGTCCTCCTGTCTCAGACACCCCTAGAGCTGACCTTCTGTTGTTTTACTTTACAGCTGCATTGTACTTACTGTACTAAATGTTCAGGTGGTTTTGGATAATAAATGGATTATGGCAAACATCTGTTACAGCACAGCCCAGCATGGGCGAGGGCTAGTCCAGATGTTTTCTAGATGCCCGACTCCAGTTGCTTATCAACCAGTCTCATAGCTATGACCGAAAAGAGCAACTATTAGCAGCGCACAGCCTCTTCCCTGAGACCCCAGAGGAATCTTCCTCAACCTACACTTAAAACTACCACAATGATCTGCCTGTTCATTTCCCAAACTTCTCCCTGAGCTGACTTCCTTGTTTATGCAAGCTCCCAAGATGAGCGACTAGTATTACAGTGCCGATTGACAGCCAATATGTACAGTTAAAGTCATCCACGTTCCAGAGAGCAGAGCTCTCCTCTACCATAGACCGGGGCTAAACACCTCCCTCTCCTGACCAGCCCCATGTCACGCCAGGCCTCACCCCTGGTCCTACCTGGTTGTGTAAATTGTCCTCGGGGCCTGGTTTCTCTTTGTGGTGCTTGGCATCCATGCAAACATTGAGCAGCTCAGTTCTGGCCCGGGCACACTCGGGCACCCAGATCAGCAGGAGCAGCAACTGTGTTGTCATCAGGTGAGCCATGGCAGACCCTGCGGGGAGAGCTATGGTCAGAGCACCTCCACGAGTGTGCTCAGCTCCAGTGGGCGGTACCTGCTCTCATGGACAGTGTGTCACCTCCTCCTCTCAGTCTTCCCCGACGCCCTGGAGACAGTCACTTGCCTGGGCCTTTTCGATTTCAGTGAGACTCAAACAAGGCAATGCAGAAACAAGAGATGGCTATTTGCAAAAACCATTAGAGTCCTCCCACTCCCATACTTGAAGTCCTTGGAGGCAAATGTTTCGGAGCTGAAATTTTCTAAGATTTGATAAAAAGTGATGCAGGCTGCAGGGAGGTGGTGTTGTACACCTTTAAACCCAGTGCTTGGGAGATGGGGGCTAGCCTGGTCTACAGAGCTAGCTCCAGGACAGCCAGGGCTACACAGAGAAACTCTGTTTTGAAAATCCACAAAAACCAAAATAAAACAAAACCTAGATGGTGAGACAAGAGGTAGCCAGAAGAAGGTAAGTCCTGAAGGAGGATAGAAAGCTAATTTTTTCCCTATCTTCAGCTTCATTATACTCTCCCTCACTCCCAGATATCTGTGAACTCAACTGTACACCGAAGGAGCGAGAACCACTTTTGCATTATCGAAGAATCCAGAATGTGTTATTTCACTGAAGCAGTGACTGCGAGCGCTGGCCTTTCTTTAATTCCACTGCCCACATGCAGAGTATCTAGATACAACAAAGTCACCAAAAGCATTTGTCACATTGACCCACTCTAAAAAATATTTTTAATTTTTTTTTTTTTATTTTGCCGGGCAGTGGTGACACATGCCTTTAATCCCAGCACTCTGTGAGTCCAGCCTGGTCTACAAGAGCTAGTTCCAGGACAGGCTCCAAAGCTACTAAGAAACCCCGTCTTTAAAAAACACAATAAATAGAAATAATTTATTTTTATGTGTATGAGTGCTTTGGCTGCATGTATGTTCATCACAGCATGCATGCAGAGGTGCAGTGGGCAGAAAAGGACATAAGATCCCCTGGGATGGGGTTAGAGATGGTTATGAGCCACCATGTGAATCTCACGTGGGTCCTCTGGAAAGATCAGCCAGTGCTATTGTGAGGCCCTGACTTTGCAAACTCCATTTTAAAGAAGGGCTTCATCTTAAGCTACATAACGAGTGGGGGCCAATCTCAGCTCCAGAAATTGCTGTGATAGCAGAATTTAAATGGATACCTTAGAAATAGCCAATTAGGAGCTAGGAAACAGGGCCATAAAGTTTAATGAGGTCCAGATAGATGTTCCTAGGAGGCACGCTGTCCTTGCAGATACCTTGTCTGTTAAGAACGGCTCTTTGGTAGTGTTTCACACCCAAAACTGACCCATGGCTTCAGAAACTACCTTACCCTATGCCCTCCTTACCCAATCCTAAACACAGGACATGAACTCCCCATGCCTGGCTCAGAGCTGCTCTTCCCTCACGGGCATTGGTGTGGTGGTATGGTCCATACTCGCTCAAGTCTGTATATTAAAAACCCTCTTGTGCTTTGCATTGGAATCCAGTTCCAAGAAGTTTCTTTGTGGGGGGGAGTAATTAACTCGGTCATAACACTATCTTAATGTATGAACTGTCTCTCCTTCCCTCAATTTTAAACTTAAATTATCGTGTTTAAGGGATCTATAAAACAAACTACCTCTACCCTGTAAGCCCCACTTACCCAAGGACAGATAACTTTTGGAGTTGAGGAGTAGCTGTGTAGTTTAAGTAGGACAAGTCTGGCTGCCCAGTCACCACACAGGGAGCGATGCACTTAGACTGGAAGTTACTTCAGGACGTATGCTGGCCCCTAACTGGTCAAAGGCAGCAGTACATAGCCTTGGGGGGTCTTGCCTTTTTAAGACCCTATCTAAGCCAGGCGGTGGTGGCGCACGCATTTAATCCCAGCACTAGGGAGGCAGAGGCAGGAGGATCTCTTGTGAGTTCGAGACCAGCCTGGTCTACAATAGCTAGTTCCAGGACAGGCTCCAAAACCACAGAGAAACCCTGTCTCGAAAAACCAAAAAATAAATAAATAAATAAATAAAAAATAAATAAAGACCCTATCTAATGTGATTCAGGGCCATACTCTGGGTATGAATCTGGACAGTGTCCATCGGGCTGATCATAATTTAATAAAGTTTGCTCCAAATTTGGTTCAAAAATTGTGGCAGTGGTCTTATTCTCACCCAGTGGGGATTAACAAATTCTGTTTTAAACTACATTAATTATCTCTCTTTTTTTACATTAATTATATCAATCATAGCCTTCTTTTTTTCTTGGTTTTTTGAGACAGGGTTTCTCTGTAGCTTTGGAGCCTGTCCTGGAACTAGCTCTTGTAGACCAGGCTGGTCTCAAACTCACAGAGATCTGCCTGCCTCTGCCTCCCAAGTGCTGGGATTAAAGGCATGCGCCACCACTGCCTGGTCAATCATAGTCTTATTAAATATATAAATTGCATTGCTATACATAAACACATGGTTTTAGAATTAATAAAAGTGATATGATGTTCATGTTACATCCACCAATCTGTGTTATAAGAAGAAATAAATAAAAGCCAAGGTTTCTCTGTGTAATAGCCCTGGCTGTCCTGGATATAGCTCTTGTAGACCAAGAAGGCCTCGAACTCACAAAGATCTGCCTGAATGCTGGGATTGAAGGTGTGTGCTACCACTCGGCTACCCCCACCCCCTTTTTTTTAGGTCAATTTTTTTCTTCTCTAATTTATTTTTTTTAAAGATTTATTTATTTATTTATTATGTATACAATGTTCTGTCTGCATGTATGCCTGCAGGCCAGAAGAGGGCACCAGATCTCATTACAGATGGTTGTGAGCCACCATGTGGTTGTTGGGAATTCAACTCAGGTCCTCTGGAAGGGCAGCAGATGCTCTCAACCTTTGAGCCATCTCTCCTGTCCTCTTTAAATTTTTTTTTTTTTTTTTTGAGACAGGGTTTCTCTGTGGTTTTTGGAGCCTGTCCTGGAACTAGCTCTTGTAGACCAGGCTGGTCTCCAACTCACAGAGATGGCCCACCTCTGCCTCCCAAGTGCTGGGATTAAAGGCGTGCGCCACCACCACCCAGCTTTAATTTTTTTTTTTTACAATTATTTATCTAGTTTGTTTTGGGTATACACACGTTCTTACGTTCTTACTTCATCAAGTGTGTGAAGGTGTGGCTGTGGCAAGCAGTCCCACTGTGTGCAATGCAAAGGTCCTTTAGGAGACAAGCTCTGCCTCCCGGCGTAGGCCTCTCCTCTTCTGACCCCACCCCCAGTCTCTCCCTCCCTTAATTAATCTCAAACTCCTCTCTCAAGCTCAGTCTGCAAGGTGTCTTTTATCACCCAGGGTCAGTCCACAATGCCTTCCTTCTACCGTAAGGAACTGAGGGATTGAGCTCAGGTTGTCAGGCTTGGGAGCGGGAGCCTTTCAGATAAAGCAAGCACTCTAGCCCCAGTAAAGTAACTCAGAGAACTCTGTTTTGTTTTGGGTTTTAGTCACGGTCTCACTAGGAATCCCTGGTTGGTCTGGAACTTGCTAAGTAGACCAGGCTGGCCTTGAACTCACAAGATGTGTGCCTTAAACCAACAAGACTGGCAAGTAGGATTTTGATGCCAAATGACTTTGTATAAAAGCTTTAAAATAAAGTAATTTAGTTTGGTGGTACAGACCGATCCCAGCACTAGGGAGGAAGATCTCTGTGAGCTCCTGAACAGCCAAGGATAACACAGTGAGACCCTCTCTCAAAAAACAAAACAGGGGGAAAAGGACTGAGCAGAGAAGACAGAGGGGAACCCACCGTGGTTTGGACTGACCCACCACCAAAAACTGAGGTCAGAAGAATAAATTAATCAATTAAGATAAAAACCTTAAGAAGCTGCAGATAAACTGAAGATTTGTGGAATTTTGTTTGTTGTTTGTTTAGAGGCCCAGACTAGCCTTGAAATCCCAAACTCAAACCAAACAGTGGTAGTTCTTGCCCTTAATGCAGCGCTCAGGAGGCAGAGGCAGGCCTGTAGAACAGCCTGGTCTATATAAAGTGAGTTCAGGACAGCCAGGACCACAGAAAAGAAATCCCAAGGAATAACCTCCTACAGAGGTGGAACTATAAGCAAGTGCAGCCCCGCCTAGGATCTTTCTCACCTTTCTTCTTTTCAGATTATCTCAACAGGCCCTTCCCAGAGACTCCGTGATCTGGGGGAGTTCCCAGTCAGCTGGACAGCCTAGATCCTGGAGGCTTCGGAGCCTCCTCCCACAGAGCTGGGGCTGGCCCCTCCCACAGAGCTGGGGTCATGGCTTCCACCTTACTATCTTCTGACTTTAGGCACTGGATTTTCGGAAGGGACTGTCTGTACTTGTCCACGCCCCCCTCAAAATGCTGCACATTGCTAAAATATTCCAAATTTATTTCCCACAAACCCTCTCCACCTCCCTCCAAGTCTGTCTCATTCAAGAGATGATAAAAGTAAATGTATTTCCTGTCAAGTACAAAAGAAATTCAGGCCAAAAGGCTGTCCGCAGTGCCTATTAACATACCAAAACCCGCTGACCTCCAGGCTGGGCAGGAGCAGCGGGAGCGCTACCAGCGGGTGGTAGCTCTGCTTACCCAGCCCCCACCCTAACTCTCTAGCTCTTGAGCATCCCTCCCCCTTCTCATTCCCTTATGGTCATTTCTGGTGTTTCAGCTGTTTTCTGTCTTCCTCTCTCGATCCCCTTCCCTCTTGTCCCTGCCTTGCTCTCCTGCTCTCTCCTCTCGCCCAGTCCAGTCAGCCATACTCAATCTACTGCTTCCTTTCTCTGGACTCCTCTGGCTGTACTCTCCCTCATAGCTACAATGAACCTTCCCCTCAGCCGGCAGTGGTGGCTCAGCCTTTAATTCTAGCACTCGGGAAGCAGAGGCAGGCGGATCTCAAGTGATTTCGAAGCCAGCCTGGTCTACAGTGAGTTCCAGGACAGCCAGGACTGTTACACAGAGAAATCATGTCTCCAGCCTTCCCCTCACCAGCGCCTTGGAGCGGTCATGTCCTCAGCTTATGGCTTTTCCATCTCCAGCTGTATCTTGTCTCCATATTATCCTATTTCCCTTAGAACATGGTGCCCACCGGGTGTGCTGGGCACAACCATTAATCTCGGTAGAGGCAAGTAAATCTCAGCGTGTTTACAGAACTAGATCCAGGACAGCCAGGGTATACAGAGAAATACTCCTTGTCTCGGGAAAAACAGAAATGACCTTGGTGTCCTCGGACTGGAAACAGCTCAGTTGGTAGTAGATCCTCAGAATTTAGGGGCAAGAGGATCAAAAATTCAAAGTCATTTTGAATTACATACCAAATTTGAGGCCAGCCTGGGATGGTGAGATCCCAACAAAAAAATCAAACAAACAAACAAAAAGTCCCCAAAACTTGGGTGTCCTGACGGGAGTCTCGTCAGATGGCTTAGCAAGGCTGGGGTAAGCCTGCACTTGGAGGCCCCTCCAGCATTCTTCTCTTTCTTCTTCACAAAACGTTACTCTGCACCAGATCGCTGCCTCCTAAGCTACTGTTAAACTAACTTTGTGTTTTGAATTTTTTTTCTTTCTGGTTTTTCATGACAAGGTTTCTCTCTATAACAACCCTGGCTATCTGAACCTCACTCTAGGCCAAGCTGCCCTCAAACAGGGACCCACCTGCCTCTGCTGGGTTTAAAGGTGCGGCCACTGAAACGTGACTCGCTCTTAGTAAATCTCCAGGCTGATCGTGAGCTCGTTCTACCGCCCAGCCCTAGAACTTTTAATCTCCTTGCCTCAGCCCAGTTTATCCCAATGGTTTATCACAATCATTCTCTCTCTGAAGTCACTCTCTCCAGGCCCCAGCTATGCCTCTGTTGATCGACTTACTCTGATCTCCAAGCCCAGGCCAGGGAAATCAGTCCTGCTGGAGCACCAGGCGTGTTGTCTTCAGCTCCTGCGGGGTCAAACAGCCCTGCCTGCTGGGAGCACAGACTAAAGCTCGGAGAGCTGGGCCCAGCCCAGACCTCTCTCCACCTCCTGCTTGACCATGCGGAAAGCAGACGCAAAGGATCACAATAGGAAACGTAGAAGAAAAAAATCACAATGGCCAGTTTCATATATGTGCGACCAACTGAACCTGGCTGAGGGGCAAGTCCAACAGCAAGGATTACCCACCCAAGTCTGACCCTTCCCCAAACCCCTCCCCCTGCTAAAAGCTCCAAATTGCTAAAATGTCCCAAGTTCCTGCTGAGTCCCCCCCCAGCCCCACCTCCTTGGATCTTTTCCAGCCAATGGTCCCTTTTTTCTTTCCCCCGCTGGGCCTTGCTTTCCGCAAGCTCATCTTTTTCAAGTCACACTTCTGATTAGTCCACCTGTGACCTCGCCCCTGCCGTAACCGCCCCATGCAACACTTAGGGGCCCCGGACTGGGAGCTAAGAACTCAGCACTTGGCTGAAGGGCAGGAGCCTTAAGTTCCAGTTAAAAGACAAACACTGGTCATGCTCTGATCTGGGCCTCAGTGTCCACCTCTGGATTCTCTGGACTTCAGGCATACAGGACGCCTTTCCAGTTCAGCAAACTCTTTAACATAGGCCGGGGGTACCTTAGGGTATGTGGTCCCTAAAGAGAAGACAATCGGAATACCTGGGAACGGAAGCAGCTCTCAGGACTGGTTCAGGCTTCCGCTCTGCTCTAGGCTTTCCGTGCTTTCGTTCCTGGAGACTGCTGAGGTTTAGTGGCCTAGGAGACGGGGCTGTGGAGCAGGCAGTGGGAATGAAGCCCAGGAATGGAGGCTGAGGCTGGGCGAAGGCCATTCAGTTGTTAATTATTGCACGTGAGCAGCACCAGTCAGGCCTCTGGAGAGTTGGCATGGATAGCCCTGGTTTGGTTCTGAGGGCGTATGGCAAGGGCTTGTCTCGCCTGCGTGAGGCCCTGAGTTCAACCCCCAAGCGCTGCAAACAAAAAGCCTGTGAAGTCACTCAGTCCTAAAACCAAAAACTAAACCTTTGTGGCTTGAACCCTTAAAGATGGCCACATCCACTTCCACCATCTGTGTTCTGTTCTACAGATGAACTGAATGAGACCCAGAGAACCACATCAGAGCCAAGGGCAGGATCATCACAAGACACAGGCTTCCAACTTCCACGAGCTACTAGTTCCCCGAACCTCATCAAACCAATCATCCTCCACTTCCACTCACAAAACCGTCTCGTGGAGCCTCAGTGGTTTGAAAGCCCAGGCCCCTTCCCTTCTATCCTCACTCACCTCCCACTCCTATTATGGTCTTTGTTGTCCTTTCAGGATTTGAGCTCTTTTAACCCCTCCCTCTGCAGCCCAAACAGAATCCTCCACGTTGGTCCCCCACTCAGGAGCCCAGGGTGGTGCTGCCTTTGGAAAAGGGAGTGAGGAGATCTGAGCAGGAGAAAACAGACTGTTGATCAGGTACCCGTGTGTGTGGCCCCAGAGAAGGCTGGGAGATGCCAGCCTGTAGCTCTCAACAGAACTTTAGGTAAGAAAATAGAGGCCAGTACCTTGGTGAATACCGGGAGAAAGAAAAAGGGAAGGAGGAGAAAGAGGACGAGGAGGAAGGAAAGGAGGAAATTTGGCCTCTGGTGAAAAATCAGCTTAAGAGACCAGCTTCCTGGAGGCCTCTTGTCTGGCAGCCTTCTTCATGGCCTCAGAAGTGTACCTGAATCCTGTGACACCCCAGGAATGTCCCTTGAAGATCACAATAGGTTGAGGACCTCTAGAGCCTTCGGGAGAGCCAGGTACCTATCAATACCTGAAGCTGAAGGACCTGAGCAGATGCCTCTAACCTGGGGGCTGATTATTAACTGCCCTTTATGAAGTTTGTCCTCTGGGGCTGTCCTGAGCTTCTGAATAAGTAACCGCTCTAGGGAGGATTTGAGTTGAAGACTGAGCTCAGGGCCTGTGTGTAATATTCTTTTTTTTAAAAATGCTGCAAGATCCCCGCGGCAGCAGAAATGCTGTAGGTCCCAAATAGTGGTAGCGGGCCACGTGGCGGCAGACAGCGGGCCCTGCGAGCAGCCAGTCGTAGGCAGAGACGTCTGTTGGTCCCATAGCGGTGGTGGTGGGCCATGTGGTGACAGGCAGCCAGTCCCAGGCAGAGATGGCTGCCGGTCCCCGAGCAGTGGCTGGTCCCAGGCAGGGAGACACATGGCAGGCGGGCAGGAGACATGGATAGACACAACTTGCAGGGTGACGTTGACTATTTACTCAGGGGGTTATGGAGGAGGAAGGGTATAGGGGGGACAGAGAGAGAGGGAGAGAGAGAAAAGAGAAAGTGACAGAGAAGGGGGAAGCAGAGAAGTGGGGAGAGAGGCAGAAGCGAAATTGCCTCTCCGAAAGGAAGATGGAAAAGAGAGCGTGCTCAGGGCAGAAGCTGAAGATCAGCCTGCCTCAGCGGATGGGGGAGGGAGTGGGCGTGGCTTGTCTCTTAAAGAGACAGAAAACCATAACAGTGTGAACCCCTACTAAAATTACCTGGCGCCTTTTTTTTTCTCTTCCGGGGACGGTCCTTAGAGGCACTCAGGATGGTCCAGCGTTTGACATACCGTAGTAGACTCTCCTACAACACAGCCTCCAACAAAACTAGGCTGGCTTGAACCCCTGGCAACAGGATTGTTTACCTTTACACCAAGAAGGTTGGAAAAGCACCTAAATCAGCATGCGGTGTGTGCCCGGGCCGACTCCGAGGGGTTCGTGCTGTGAGACCGAAAGTCCTCATGAGATTGTCTAAGATGAAGAAACATGTCAGCCGGGCCTATGGTGGCTCCATGTGTGCCAAGTATGTCCGTGACAGGATCAAGCGGGCTTTCCTTATTGAGGAGCAGAAAATTGTTGTGAAAGTGTTGAAGGCACAAGCACAGAGTCAGAAAGCGAAATAAACGTGTGGCTTTTTTAATAAAATAAGTAAGTAAATAAATAAATAATAAAATTACCTGGCGCAAGTGAAAAGGAAACGCAGAACACGGAACAAACCCGCTTAGGAGTTTATTGGTGGGGAGAGGTTGTACAGGCCTGGGGATCAGTGTGCAGAGAGAGCTTGAAGATGGTGCGTCCAGCTTTTAAGGGCTGCCTAGCGCAGGCAACAGGGAGATGACGGGACTATATCATCCGCAGATGACAGAGCTCACACAGGAGCGCAAAGGCTCACGCAGTTGCATCAGATGTGGGTGATGCAACCATGCCACACGGGGCACGCAGGGTCCTTTACAAAGGAACCCTGTCTCGAAAAGCCAAAAAAAAGAAAAAAGAAAAAAAGATCCCCCGGGGCCACTAGGCACTTCTGGCTGAGGGCTTGCCCCGTGCCTGGTCCTAGAACCCGGAAGTGTCAGCCATGCTGTGTGGCTGAATCATTACACCTACCTTCCATAAGCCTCAGAGTCCTCCCTGAACAAAAAAGAAATATTTGGGGGGCATGTGCGCCTTTAATTCCATTACTTGGGAGGCAGAGGCAAGCAGATCTCTGAGTTCAAGGCCTGCCTGGTCAACGTGGTGAGTTTCAGGATAGCTAGGGCTACACAGAATCACTTTGTCTCAAAACAAAAGAAATAAAAAGGGCGTGGTTGCTCCTAGGTGTGGTAGAGAAGGGTCATGGTACGCTTGAGGGAGAGGGTAGCCAGAGGGACCCAGAACGAACGTGACCTTGAGCTGGACCAGTGTGGAGTGGAGAAGAGAGAGGGAAGAGGGGAAGAACCGGGCTGGAGACCGGGCTGTAGAGATGGCTCAGTGGTTAAGAGCATTGCCTGCCCTTCCAAAGGTCCTGAGTTCAATTCCCAGCAACCACATGGTGGCGCCCTCTTCTGGCCTGTAGGCATACAGACAGAACATTGTAAAATAAATAAATAAATATAATATATATATATATATAATATATATTAAAAAAAGAGGGAATGAGGAGACCAAAGGAGCAAAGAACCCGGGTAGTCAAAGTTACTGGATTACATAGTGAAGAGTGGCCAAGGGAAGGGCAGCCCAGCTCCTGGGCAGAAGTTTCAGGTAGGGGTCTGGGGAGCCTATAAACAGGTAGGGGCTCATTTTAACTCAGTTGGATTTGGCATGATTGGATTTCTGTGCGCTGGCGGAGAGGATTTTTCTTAACAAATACTGCCCTGGATCTTGAGGTGTTGTATCCACCTGGAGCGTAAGCTCTAGGATTATTTGACCACTAGGGAGAAACCAGTCCAGGGAGTATCTCCCTGACCTAGCAGCTTACTAGCCACAAAACTGACCACCAACCTTTCTTCCTGCCCAGCCTTGTGACCAGGCAGTAATAACGGAAGGTTATTGCCGTTTCCCACCCCCTTACTAAGGACCATGGAGTAAGAGAGGCCTCCAGATGGCAGGGGGAGAGGATCTTGAGCTTTTCTGAGTGTCAGCCCATACACATGCTTTTCACACCACCCATCCTCAGCTGTGGACACGCTGGATTCTGTCTGCAAGGCTGATGTCCTTCAGCCAGGAATCCTGGAACAGCATCCTGGGATACAGACTCCTTGCTGTTTCTTTGACCCCTCTCCTGCCTGCATTTCTTAGAACTTCCTCCTCTACCAGCTATCATAATAAAATCAATTCTTTTACACAATGTCAATAAAAAGGAATCTTTTCCACTTTAATTTTACAATATAAAATAGAAACTAGCAACTTAAAAAAAGATGGATTTATTTTGTATCTATACCTCATTCTGTCTGCATGTAACCCTGTGGGCCAGAAGAGGGAGCCAGATCTCATTACAGAGAGTTGTGGGTTGCTGGGAATTGAACTCAGGACTTCTGGAAGAGCAGTCCCTGCTCTTAACCTCTGAGCCAGCTCTCCACGCCCACCTTGCTGTTGGAAGCCTTGTTGACTCTTGGGTATACCTGCCCTACTAGACTGTTGCATGGCACTCCCTCCCGTACCTTCCTGCCAAAAGACTAGTCTGTGCTGACAGGATGAATGCCTACATTCCTAACTTCCCAGCTCCTCCCATTCAGAACCCAAGCCCTGAGCATCCATGACAAAATGTCCCTGTCTCCCGCCCTGCTTCACATGTGCTCATTTTGTGAAGGGGAAAGCATGGGTACAGAATGACATCTCTTCTCGGGGACTAGAGTGGGAGGTTTCCTTAGACTGACATCTGAAGTTGCTTTAGTGGGCAACTGTAGGTTGAGGTCTGTCTTAGTTACTTTCTTGTTGCTGTGATAAGACACAACAAACAAGGCAACTTGTAGAAGAACATGTTCCAGAGAGATAAGAATTTCTTACCATCACAGTGGGGAATGTGGCAGCAGGCATGGGCACTAAAGCTACAGGTGAGGTCTGAGAGCTCAAACTGCAAACAGGAAGGGAGGGGGGAGAGAATTCTATATTTTATTTTATTTTTATGTGCATTTATGTTTTTGCTACAGTGTCACATTCCCTGAAACTGGAGTTACAGACAGGTGTGAGCTGCCATGTGGGTGCTGGGACTCTGACTCAGGTTCTCAGAAGAGCAGTCAGTGCTTTTAACCCGTGAGCCAGCTCTCCAGGCCCCAAGACAGAACTCCAAATAGTGTTAAGTAATTTAAGTATCCACCAGTGGCATATTTCCTCCTAAACCTCCCCAGTCACCAAATGGGGACCAGGCATTCAAAATGCTCAGACTATGCGAGCTCTCTCATGCAAACCATCACGACGTCTAAGAGGCCAGAAGGGTCCAGCTT